GAGAGAGAGAGAGAGAGAGAGAGAGAGAGCGCACGCCAGGGAGTGGACTTTTATTGGGGAACAAAAAATTCTGGTGAAAATACCATCCATGAAGATTAAGGGGGGCAGCATGCCAAGGTCAGGGGTGACGATTGGGTCTTCAGAGCAGTGGCCAGATATGCCACTGCATGGACAAGCCCTCGAACCTGGAGAAGGGTGAGGAAAGTTCTGACACAGCTGTGCCTAAGCGCCCCTCACCCAGCCAGGAAGGTAACTCAAATCACGTGAGAGGATGGCCTCCCACACTGAAGGACACTTTTGCTAGATATACACTTATGATTGTGTTTGCTCAGAGCCTTAAAGGTGTTGCCTCATTTCTTCTTGTTCTATGGATTTTGATAAAGCATCAGGCAGAACAGGAGATTCTGCAGAACAAGAAACAGGAAAAGTAACAGGGTAGCCCCAAACCTTTGATGTTAACAGCTACAATCAACATTATGAGTCACCCCTCTGATTAAAAGGCTGCTAGGTTGAGTGGCAGGGATGTGCTGTTGGCAAGATATGCATTTGTCACATAAATTCTGAAGTGAAAGTAATTCATGCGGAAAGATACGCCATGCCAATAGTAAGCCCAAGCGGGCTGGAGTGACCACGATGCTATCAAAAAAACACACTTCAAAATAAAATGTATTCTTAGAGACAAAGAAGAACACTTCATGAGGATAAAAGAGTCAACAGGATAACATAGCACTCAGAAATATACATGGTCCCAAAAACACTGCTGTAAAATACATGAGGCAAAAAATAAATAAAATAAAATACATAAAGCAAAATTGACAGCGTTATACAAAGATACAACTCCCAAGATGGAATCAGAGAGTTTCAGACCCTTCTCAGAAATTTAGACAACCACAGGAGGAAAAGAAAGCAGAGATAGATGAGAAAAACACTAAAAGCAACTATACTTCACTGACATCAATAAAATGCACACAAATGTAAAAAAAAAATACACATTATTTCACATGAAAATGGTACATCTGCCTTGTCAGATCATCTTTTAGAACCATAAAAGAATTTTCAACAATTTGAAAATACTGTAATGATACAGAGTATATTTTGTGATCATAATAGCATTAATTAAAAGCAAGTATCAATAAGATAACCAGTAAGTCATAATGTTTGTAAATTAAACAATAAAAATATAAGTGGTTATCGAATCAAAGAAAAAATTGGAAAACATTTTAAACTTAATGAGAATAAAATGCAGCATATTAAACCACATGTAATATCTCAAGTTAATAACTCTACCCTTAAAACATTGCTTACCCGATACCAGTAGAAGGAAGGAAGTAAAGACAAATGTGAAATAGACAATTTTTTAAGTTGATGGAACCCATCTGTATCTTATTTCTTTTATCTTTTCTTAAATTTGTTCTTTTTAGATATACATGACAGTAGTGTATATTTTGGCATATTTATACATACACGGAGTATATCTTATTTTAATTAGGATCCCAGGCTTGTGGTTGTACATATTGTGGAGATTCACTGTGGCATATTCATATAACAAAGAAAAGTTACAACCAATTCATTCCACTCTCTTTCCTATTCATATCCCCACCTCCTTTTTCTCCATTGACCTTTGTCTAATCCACTGAACTTGTTGAGTGGTAGCATTCACATATCAGAAAGAACATTCAACCTTTGTGGTTTTGAGATTGGCTTATTTCACTCAGCATGAAAATTTCTAGATCCATCTATTTATTGGCAAGCAATTTCATCAAGTAATTCTTTCTTAGGGCTGAGTAATATTCCTTATGTAAATAAACCACATTCTTTTTATCTGTACAACTTTTGAAGGGCACCTACATTCCATAACTTAGCTATTGTGAGTTGAGCTGCCATGAACATTGATATGAACATGTCACTGTAGTATGCTGAATTTAGGTTTTTGGAGTATACTCCAAGGAGTGGAATAACTGGGTCAAATGGTGATTTCATTCCAACTTTTTGAGAAATCTCCATACTGCTTTCCATAGTGGTTTGGTTACCCCCAAACCAGCAATGTATGGGTGTACCTTTTCCCCCACATCCTCGCCAACATTTATTGTTGTTTGTATTCTTGATAATTGCCATTCTGACTAGAATAGGATGGATTCTCAGTGTAGTTTTAATTTTCATTTCGTAATGGGTAGTGATGTTGAACTGTTAACCATTGTTATTTCTTCCTCTGGGAAGTGCCCGTTCACTTCCTTTGCCCATTATTGATTGGATTACTTGTTCTTTGGTGTAACTTTTTTTTTGAAATTTCTATATATCTGGAGATTAATACTCTGAAGTACAGATGCAATGACTTTCTCCAATTCCATAGACTCTCTCTTCATATTCTTGATTGTTTCCTTTCCTTTGTAGAAACTTTTTAGTTTGATACCATCCTATTTCTTGATTCTTGATTTTACTTTTTGCACAGTAGGAGTTTGTTGAGGAAGTTGGTGTCTAAACTGACATGATGGAGACTTGGGCCTACATCTTCATCTAGTAGGTGCAGGGCTTCTGGTCTAATGCTTAGGTATTGAATTCACTCTGATTTGACTTTTGTGCAAAGTGAGACATGAGGGTTAAATTTTATTTTACTGCATCTAGATTTCCAGTTTTCCCAGCACCATTTGTTGAAGAGGCTATCTTTTCTGCATGTATGTTTTTGGCCCCTTTGTCTAGTATGAGATAACTGTATTTATGTGGTTGTGTCTCTGTGTCCTATATAATGTTCAAATGGTCTTCATGTCTATTTTTCTGCAAATACCATGCTGGTTTTGTTACTAAAGCTCTGTAGTACAATTTAATGTCTGATATTGTGATGCCTCTTGGCAATTCTCAGCCTCTTATTTTTCCAAATGAATTTTATGACTGCTTTTTCTATGTATATGGAGGACATCATTGAAATTTTGATGGAAATTTCATTAAATCTGTATACAGCTTTTGGTAGTTTGGCCAACTTGACAATGTTAATTCTGCCTATCCAAGAATGTGCAAGATCTTTCCATCTTCTAAAGTCTTCTTCAGTTTTCTTCTTTAGTGTTATACAGTTTTCATTGTAGATGTCATTCATTGCTTTTGTTAAATTGATTCTCAATTCCCATTGAAGCTATTGTGAATAGGATAGTTTTCTTAATTTCTCTTTCAGCTGATTCATCATTGGCATATCGAAATGCAATTCACTTATGAGTGTTAATTTTATATCCTGCTACTTTGATGAATTCATTTATGAGTGCTAGAAGTTTTCTGGTGGAGTTTTTTGGGTCTTCTAAATATAGGATCTGTCATCAGCACATAGGGTAGTTTGAATCTTTTTCTATTCAAATCCCTTTAATCTCTTTCTTTTGCCTATTTTTTTCTGGCTAGAGTTTTAAGGACTATGTTGAAGAGAAGTGGTGAAAGAGGGCATCCTGTCTTGTTCCAGGTTGTAGAGAGAATGCTTTCAGTTTTTCTCCCTTTAGAATGATGTTAGCCTTGGGTTCAATGTATTCAGCTTTTACAAAGTTGAGGTATGTTCCTACCATCTCTAGTTTTTCTAGAATTTTGAAATTTAATGGATGCTGTATTTTTACAAATTCTTTTTCTGCATATATTGAGATAATCATGTGTTCTTTGTCTTTAAGTCTATTTATATGGTCCATTACATTTATTGATTTCAATGTGTTGAATCAACCTTGCATCCCTGGGATGAAATCCACTTGATCATGGTGCACTGTCTTTTTAATATCTTTTTGTATGCACTTTGTCAGCATTTTATTAATATTTTTTTACATCTATGTTCATCAGAGATATGGATTTTCTATGAAAAATATTATTTTATAAGTCTCTGCCTTGATTGATTTAAAGGGGAAAAACAGATATAAATTGCCAACATTGAGAATGAAAGAAAGGATACCAGGGTGAATCCTTAGGATGTTAGAATGATGATCTGGGAATATTAGTAATGGATTCATGATAACACTTTTCACAATCTATATGAAATTAACAATTTCTTGAGAGATAAAAATTAGGAAAAAATGAAGGTCATATACCAATTGTAGACATTTTTGTTTTGTGATTGAAAACCTCCATGCAGAGATCACTCCAGTCCCATAATCTGTCATTGGTGAATCATGTTGAACATTTAATTAAAAATAATATCACGTATAAACATACTCTCAGATATAAAAACTTGTAACAACTTCTAACTCCTTTTAAAGACCAACATTATTTTATTTCCAAAACTAGTCAAAGATCATAAGAAAGAGAACAATAGACAAACTCCCTTCTGAGCCTGAACTCAAAAATCTAAAAATGACATTAGAAAATCAAATACAACAATATGCATAAAGCACCATACATCTGTCCACAAGGGTTCTGTCATATCATAGAAATGAACATTGGTCTTTTGTTTTAGAATAAAACAAAAGTCTATATCACCATATTATAAAGTTCAAGGTAAAAAACACATAGGTTCATTACAAGGGATACAGGAAAAGTATTTGTTTAAATTCAATATCATTGGCATGGTAAAATTTCTAGGGCTCTAGGAATTGAAAGAAATGTTCTCTACAAGGTTAGGAAGAGTAATAAAATTATACCACTACATCAGTCTCAGTCATGAAAGGCTCAAACTTCCTTTTTGGGATCAACAACAATGTAAAGATGGATCTCCCCATTTTTGTGTAATGTTATTCTGGATAACATAGCTAGCACAACAGCACAAAGAAACAGAGGAGTCCTTGGTCTGCAGAAATGTTCAAATACGCCAGGCAAATGTTGGAGGTTTCTTTATTAAGATGCAGACTTATTTCTTGGCTCTACATGGAGATGTTTTGCACTCTTGTGTCATAAGCCAGCCATGGACTGTGTGTGTGAACTATGTTCATTTGAGTTTATAAGGGGACTGGCCTGACTTTGCTGTCTAATTGTGCTGTGTGACACATATGAGCCTTTCCTCTTGCTCTACCTATGATTTCACATAGCACCTGAGATAGGTGTGGCTTTCCAAGATGTCAGTCAATCTGCTGACCACAGACATTACCAAGTAAGAGTTCACCCTCCAAAACCCAATTCTTTGCCTTATTTTGTTAGAACTTTCTCAAATGTCTTTTCCCTGATAAATAGAAGGTTTCAGATGTGCTCTGTCTCTTGCTTCTTCTAGTCCCGGAGCTGACACTTGGGGTCACTGAGCTGAACCATTCTGCCTTAGAAACTTATGTTCCTATGCTACATGGTTTCTTCACTGCATTCTT